GAACGATGTAGGTGGCTAACCCTTCGGAGAATGATTTAAGTAGTGCATTTCAGATTATGTCGTCCTCATCATCTGAAGAGGAAATGAAACCAAAAAAGGAAGAAAAAAAGAAGGAGAAGTCGAAAAAGGATAAATCAAAAAAGGAGTCGAAGAAAGAATCAAAGAAGGTAAGCAACCAGCTGTCCTATGTTTCTTCCTCCTATACTGAAAATTCAGCCAGAGAAACGCCCTGCAGAGAGTGGCTCTTCATCAGACGAAGGTGTGGTAGACGCAACACCAGTGAAGAAGTCTAAAACTGGTGGCAATCGTATAAAAAATGCGGATGGAGATGAGGTTTGATTTGAACTGAATTAGGTCATTGAAACTTTGGTATTTGAAGATAGCCTCGCATCTTTGCAGAAATAGCTTTATTAGTTCACAACCCCAGAAACCTTCTCGATGAAGGATGTGTTTTTTCGAGATCTGAACAAGGGTCTGAAGTGCTTAAAAGCTAATTGAATGAAAAGAAAAGGAACAATCAAAAATCATGTCCTACCTCACCTTTAATAAGCAGCTTTTCTGGATGGTAACATAATTTTTCAACGGAAATTTGGCCAATTTTTCTTATTAGGTACTGAACATTTCCTTATTCTCTGTACTGGGGAGTGTCCCAGTTTCGATAATTTCAGATGATTGAACTGGGAAGTATGCGTTACGTGACTGTCAGGAGTTTCCGAGGAAAGGCGCTCATTGATATTCGAGAATTTTACACAGATAAAGTTTGTATCTTTTGCCACAGTACTTTTCCTTTTTTATCCAACATGCTGTATCGATAGGTATTAATTGTTTAGTGTTCAATACAATTGTTTAGGCCTCAGGTGAAATGCGCCCCGGCAAGAAAGGTATAAGTCTCAGCAAAGAACAGTACCAGAACTTCAAAGCTGTCATGAGCGAAATTGATGCGAAACTTTGAATTATTTTTATGAATTAGTTGCTTCATTTTGTGGATGTACTATTTCTTGTTTGAACTGCCTTGTTATTTTCTTTAATTTTGGAGCATGAAGCGCTTTATTAACGCTGTTTCCATATTGCCTCCTATGTTAAGATCTCATTAAAGATCCTGTTGTAATTTTGGTAGCCTTCAAGATTACTGCTCGTCGGTTTCAATATTTGAACCATTTCATCTGATTCGTTGCTAGGCAATTTTTAATCTTCAGAAAATCTGCTTCTTTGTGTTTAATTTTGCGGCAAGTGTTTAACGGCTCATCCAATGTCTTCCAACGATGGCTGTAATCGAAGTTTCGAACATGTGATGGAGTGCGATGACAGTATGAGGAAACAAGCGGTTGGTGTTACTCTCATTCTATTTTTGCCTCCCCTGTCGTTCCCATCGTTTTTTCACGTTTTCTTATTTTCCAAAAGATTGCCACGCATTTCTCTTATATAGAGTATGGAGTACGTATATATGTTCATTAAAACCTAATCCAAGCACTTTATGTTTAGGAACGAAATCGTACAGTGGATAGCCCTTTGGGCCAACTTGATCCATCCAGAATCACTCACATGGTTGTTGATCAAGTCGGCCTTTGTGGTCCAACTGCCAACCCAGATAATGATGGGTTCGTGGTTCCAGGCCCACCTTATCAGGTGATATTTGTTTTAGCTATCACTTAACTTTTTAAAAACGTTGTTATGAGTAGAGGCAGCGTAAAACTGGCCTGTAGTAATTAAGAAGGGAGAGTTGCAGCAGGAGTCCTTTCACGAGTAAAGATCGGATTGAAATGCGCCACCCAAGGAGTGTGTTTGGGCCGGGTAGACATGCAATGACTTGGTGCAACAACCGATTTAGTGAAGGGAAAGTTTTGTATCACCTCACAAACAGATTTTGGAAATTTCTGGTCAGAACGAAATTAGATCTGAGATTTGATATTCAGACCATGCGTGTGTTACAAGCGCGCGATGGCACTATCATACCTTTGGTTTTATGATCAAAGTTCGGTAATTTTGCTCGTAAATGGCTCACACAATAAAATGTTAATATCCAAGTCGTATATGAAAATACCCAACTAAGATCACATTGTGAAGTTCACTAACTTTATATTTCCGACAACCTTTTCCGCTATGGTTGTAGTGTAAATTTGTTTTGATAATTGAATTCCTTTTCAGCAGTGGCCACGATCTTCACCCGCTGCAAGTCCTTCTGTTATGTCCTCACCATCTAAAGGTATGTTTCTCGTTTTCTTCTTGTCAAGTTCTGGACTCCCTGTAGATGAGTGGATATTCATCAATTCAGAAATCTCAATCCCTTTAGTTAATTACAACATATGTATAATGATTCATTTGACTAAATATCTCTGTTTGTGAAGCAAATGTTTCAAACTTTTGTAACGATGCACCCTGAAAACTATGCCAATTTAAAGTCTCAGAAAAGATGGCTATAAATTGGTGGGTGATTCGTACGAGGCTGCAGCTACTCGAGTCGAGTCAACCGCGCAATTTCTATAGTCACTCGTGAGATCTGTTGGGAATTTTCGTAAACTTCAAAGGGTTCCCACTCTCCTGAGGAGAGTTTTATTGTCGCAAAGTTAATTTCCATAAGTACATTCTCTTGTAATAATCCGCCTTTGAGTGGAAGTGGTAGGTGGATCGTGAGACTTCTGTCACAGGTTGCAGTTTTTACAGTTTTGTTAGTGGTGTGCAATCACCGGTGGAAATTTCGCACCTAGTAGATCACTTTCTCAAACAGTCGTTTAACTTGCTGATTTCTGTCTCATATTTCCGTAAGAAAGAAGATGTGTTGCTATTTAGGAAGTGAGGTTTGTTCAGAAATGCCGTTAGTACGTATATCATCCATCGCTGTTTTTCCGCTAACCTTTTTTTCGTAAGTTCACTAGAAGTTGGTGATTTAAGTACAGAAGCGTTTCTGATAATTCAGGGGAAATTTTGACTAGGTACTTCAACCTGCATCAGAACATTTGACTAGTAAGCAGTTACCGGAAACTGCCCCCTAACAGCATTCGTTGTGTGTAGTGCTGTCTGTTTTTAGGAGGGGCAGTAAGCAAATGGGTGGAAGCGTGAGAGGTGAGAGAAGGAAGGGGCGATGGCGGTCGAAGAGTGGAGTATAGGGCTGCGGGAGATGCCACCACACACACACACGCACACCACCGACTCATGGCCAGACTGAGACACAGAGAGTGCGCGGCAGAGACACAGCGTAGGCTGGATGGGCTACTTCTGCTTTCCCCGTGGTGCTCTGTTCCTGTGGTCAAGGTGGGAAAGCCATTGCTTCTCGTCCATAACAAGGAAACCTCCACTCCAGTTGTGGTTATCATTGAATCGATTGCTTCCGGTCAGCCGGTACCCACTTTAGTGGGGTGTTACGCGTCATTATATCGCATCTTCTGCGTGTTCTAGCCTGATTATTAGGTCATAGTGACACGTATCTCGATGAAAGATTCGCCGCCATTATAGATAATATATTTACAAGTAGGAATTGCAGGCCTTAGCGATTTTCCTTCAGTTCCATTTCTACATATTTGATTCTATTTGTTCGTAAACATCATGTTTTTCCGCGCGATAAGATGTCGGCTATTTCATCGAATAGGACTGAATTTGTGACAGTTAACGACAGTTCATAAGTATGCGGTAATATAGTCTCTTAACAATTCCTCCTCATTACTGAATGGGATCTTACTCAAGGCAAAAGCTTAACTGTATCTGTATTTGAAAGATTATAATAACTTCAGCTTTTACCGCATTTCAAAATGTTTCTGTCGGAACACTCGGTGGTGTACCCTGAAAACTTCGAAAAGCAGTTTATTGATCAGATTTTTTCGTTCGAAAATGTGATGAGTTTTATTTGGTGCCGAGCTTTAACTGTGTCGGTGATAATGATTGCTAAACTTTCCTATCCAACTATCTATGGAGTGGTCGTTTTTGCGTTCCGACCAGATTTTAGCTGTAATTCAGCGTCGATTCTTCCACAGGTTGTCTGAGAATAGTTGACATCATACGCAGAATGCCTTAGGTTGGGCCGAATAACATGACAAGCGTCTTGACTGCCAGCGTTGCCTGGGTGTCGCATCCTGTTGGCCGCGCATAGTTGGTTGCCTTGTTATAAAAATGAACATACCTTTTTCTTACTTCACTACTTGCCTAACGGTTATGGCTGGCTGCCATACGACCTCTTGTGGAGTCAGTGAGCTCATTCCTTTATATGAATCATTCCTGTATGTTTACATGTCTTTTACGAGCTTCGTTTCCCTAAAATTCCCTGAATAAGTTTTCGAGACGAAATTTTGTGGATTCATGAATTCGTTCGTTTCAGTCATGGACAGTTGTGGGCAAATGCAACCGCGCATAAGTACGCCGACGAATATGATGCATATGCAGCAAGGTAACATTTAGTTCTTCCTGTAGGTGACCATTGTAGTATACCGATGGGAATGATCGGTAAAGTTATTGCTCAATGAGGTTGTATCACATCGAATAAGGCTTTACTTATGAATTCGTTTTACTACTTTAATTCTAGTACAAATTCGGCCTTCATTGTGTTTCCCTCTGATTAGGTGCCATTGGAAGTCCATCGATCTGCAGTGCACCAATGACACCACAGCAGATGGTCCAGCAACAACAGCAGCAAGGAATGATGCAAGGACAACCCACCCCAACAGGACAATTTGACCAGAGCGGGGGATTCACTCCACAGCACCAGCAAATGCCACAAGGCTATCCACAAGGATTGACAGAAAGTTCAGGTAATGCAGCATCGACTAAGTTTGAGTCTCCGTAGTTTCTCCGTAAGTTTTTGAAGATTCGTTCCTGACTTGATCGAGCTAGGCGATTCGAATACCGTTTCTAGCCCTTGCACTTACTCTTGTTTGTGTTGGGCTCGGAATGTGTGACTGTTGATTTTAAGGCAAGCCTCACAGAATTTTGACAAGTGACAAGTGAATTTGTGGGTTTTCCTAAAACATATTATAACGATAATGTTAAGAGGACTGTCACCCCCGATATTCGCAGTGGCCTGATGCNTCCTTTCGAGTATATATGCATTTGAGCTAACACTCTCTCTGAAAACTGATAGAAATTAGTGGAGTATGTGTCCATATTAGAAATTAGCCTTTTACAACAGCAGTTCACTGAAATGGAATTTTACTATGTTCTTTTTCATCGTAGGTGCTATACACATGCAGCAACAAATTATGGTTGGAGGAGGTGGACCAGGTGACGGCTCACCGGGTATGTATGCTAGACAGCAGCAGCAGCAGCAACAACAACAACAACAAATGATGAGTCAACAACAACAGATGCAGCAGCAGCAAATGATGGGACAGCAGCAGGTGAGAGATATTCATGAACTTCATCGCCAAGTTATCGTATTTTTCGAAATGCATTCTTAAAAGATTGTGGAGAGTTTTTCATCTTTTTTGTATCCTTTTTCGTCTTTAAAATGTTCTTACTCGCCGACGAATGGCGACACAGTCCACTGCCTAATTGTATGAATGATATACACAAGGTAAAAAGGGAATGTGAAAGGTACACTTCATTCAAATTAGGTATGAAGGCTCAGATAAGGAGAGTAGCCTAGTTCGTTTAGCTCTACGCCTAATATTCTAGTCCCCCCACTTCAGACCTGGTTCATAGCTATTATTTGAAGCTCTAGAACAGCGAGTGGAAAGAGCTGCAGGAACTAATGTAATCTTCTTGAAAGAAACTTGTTTCCAACTTCGTATGGTCAGATTTTGGAGTAGAAAGTGAGAAAAAAAGAGGTTGACACATGACTGGCATCTTATGCAACAAGTCCTACATGTTTTCTTTATCCATTTTTGTTGGCACTTCGATTATACTTCTTTCCATTGTAGATGATGATGTCACAACAAATGGGTGTAATGGGCGGTAATCCTCAGCAGTACTATCAACAGCAAAATCCGCAGTGGGCCCAGCAACAGCAGCAGGTAAGTCATTCCGTTCGTTACCCATTGTCAAGTATTGACTTCTTTACAATCTACAACGCAAGTTTATGGATAACCAGTGCTGCTAGCTGTTTATGTAAAAAGTAAGTAATAGACGGGTAGGTTGCGATACAAACGCATCTGACTGATTGGTATATTGTTGAGAAAAGGTTTCTTTATGAACATAATTTAATTTGACCCAGTTTACTGCTCCAATTATAATGTTGTGTTGAAATAGTTAAATGTTTCTAGATGCAACAGGCACATTTTGCACGTCAACCGCAAATGATGGGAACAGCTCCAGTCCAGAGAGTGATGATACAACGCGTACCGTATCCCCCGGGCACAGGTAAGGCTTATGGCTTTATGTTTCGATTTCAGACATCGCTGTTTTTTCTTTGGCTCTAGTGGAATTCTTACCGCCGGAAGCAGTTATTTCGGAGGTTCCATTCAATAGCCAAAAAGTTTTCTTGCAATTTTCACAGAGCCCTTGCGTGGAGGACCGGCATTAGTGGTTGTGGAGCCCTTTCGATTTTTACTGCATAATCTTCAAGGCTTCTTGGGCTCTTGGTTTTGTTGAGATTCATTTCGAAGACTGCATTTCAATAACAATGGAATTTGTTACTGGCATTTCCCCAAAAAAAAGGAGAAAAATGCAAGTTAGACCTATTGTAACACATTTTATTCATTGAAGTTTTTGTCTTCTATTTTTTCCCCATAGTCGTCAGCCATTAATTTATCAGGGCTGGGTTGATATCTTTGCAAATGCTGCCGTTTTAAAAGTAACTTTTTTTGCCTTTTTCTTCCAGCCTTCACAAGTTTGCTGAGACCAATTTCTCAAAATTTGGATGACTTACAGTTGACATTTGCTTGATGTGAAAAATAAAATAGCGTTTAATGGGGTAAATTTCCGAATGTCGTGATGTTCAGTAATTTAGTTGGCTTCCATAAGGATTTATTCGCACATTACTGGAAGTGAAATACGATGTCATTTTTATGCACATATTCAATGAGGTCTTCCCAAAGGCTTGGCATTTGAAGTTATTCAGCCCTCCATGTTATATATATTGCTTGTAGTTGAAGAGCAGTTTCTGTTTTCCCTTTCAGATCATTTGCAAAAGTTTGATCTCGGGCGGGCTCGAACCGCCGGCCTTCTGTGTGTTAGACAGATGTGATAACCACTACACCACGAGATCGCCGAGGTGAGAAGTTGCAACGTGCAACACCTCTGCATAAATCGATTCGAGATTGTACATAAATTGAGAGGAGCTTACACATTTTCCTCTAAGAGTCTGCGGAGTCAGAGAACCAAATTCCCTTCTGAAAAAATGGAAAACGCAAAATGGAAAAAATCTACATATTTTCTTAATCTTTCCGCATTTCTTCGTGAAAGGGATTCCCCAGAACCATGTGAGAGTGTGGGTAACTCTTTTTTGTTTAATAATTTTGCTATGTTTCCTTTTTCCTGATTCTAGAACAAAAGGTAGAGAATGATAGTTTTTTGGCATTAATTGCGATCTTAGAAAAAGGTCTTCTACTTGCATGGCATTTAACTACATGTTCTGCACCACTTTTTTTATTGTCTATATTGGCATTGTGTAACTTATCTGAGGCGATTCTGTGGGAGAACAATTTCAGCAATACTACTTTTCCCTATTGGTGAAAATGGTGTATCTACGGTGTTAAAAGTTAAAAGCTGAGTTCATATGCATAGTTAAGCATTGGCGTGGACGGCGTTCATAGCTTTGCTGGCGAACAGGCACTTTACAGTCTTTGTTTCGCACCTCCGACAACATTTCATGTTCGCTGTGCTCTGTTTCCTTTCATACTGCATTCTTCTGAACAGCTCTAACCCTGGCAACATTTCATTTTGCGCTTGATGGAGAAACCATTTCTTCATTGATGTTTTGTGACTTTGCAGTTAGTTTTGTTGCATGATTTTACTTTGCAAGCTGCATCTATAAATTTTCCTAGACGAGGTAAATTCAGGGGGTATTTGTTGGTTCCGTTAGGTATTTGAACTGAAAGGTAAGATGTGGTTTTGTTTTACCAATGCAAAATGTATGTATCGGCTGTCTGCTAGATGCTTGGATGTTTTTATGCATTCCGTTAAACAAAAAGCATCGCATGCAGCAGGATCTGGCTGGCATTCGTCTACGTGAAACTCGATCCGTCATTCATCTTGGATTTCACAAAACAGCATGCATTGTCTTGCCTTTTCTGTTGCCTCCATGTGTTCATGCTTTTTGCTTTCGATTTCCATCTCAGCGTGAGGCGACTTCACCTTGTTTCATCTGCCCCTTTCTGCAAATGTCTCCTTTGTCACTTAACATTCTGGATGGTCTACTCGGCAGTAACATTTGGTAGAATAGTACTCAGAAGTAGACGATCCGATTGATGTTGACTACCTTCTCACACAGCAAAACCTCTTGTCTTCGAGCGGCTGAGGAAAACTTATAAGCAGTGTTTTCTGATTCCAAGAGATCCTGCATGCTCCCGCTTCTTGGCACCAGTGGCTCAATGTTTGCAACACTTCGAATGGTTTACTTTTTTAACTTATTTTTAAACCGTCTTTCAAACCTTTGGATCGTTCCAATACACTGCATACTTCGTTAATCGACCTATTGAGTTCTGGTTTTTACTTGAAATATACCTCTACATGAGTTCAGCGGTACGACTGAGTGAAGCTAGTGGGCGGGTATGAGAGGGGGAGAAGTGATGATTTCCTCTTTTCTTGAAGTAGATGGTGTCTACTGCGGCCAATAGTAGATCTTTACTTCAGCTTTCCTGAAATCACTCACGTAACGCTAGTTTGAAACGACCGATATTTATGTCTCCCTCACTGAAACTCGAGATCTTTCCTCTAAATTTATTGCTTTTATGATGTTCTCAAAGCACAAGTTTCGAGAGTGTTCATACTTTTAGTATAAGATTTTGTAAAAAAAAATGTCAATACTCTGGTGTGAGAAAGGTCTTCCGGGGAACATTCAGCTCGAGAGCATTGTTCGGCTAGCAAAGGCACTCTTAGCCACCAGCGACGGGCGCACACACACAAAGAGAGGTTTTTTGGCTTTCGCCAGGCGCTGTAACGACGGGCATAAAACCATTGGCCAGCATTGTTTCATTTTCGTGCATCGAGTGAACGCCTTGGAATTTGCACACTTTTTTCTTCCGAATTCCCCCTTTTTATTCGAAGGACAAATTAGATCTTTCCATTATGTTGAATCTATAAGAATCATTAGGGTTAACTCATGGAATAAAATTCAGCCTAAAAAGTTTGAATTTTTCATTTTTGTCAAGTTATTTCACCTCTTATTCAGTATAAAGTCTTTTTTTTAATTATTCAACCCTTCTGTTTCTTTTATTCTTCCCATAGCCCATCCTCCACAGCAATCGTGATGCATGGTGAAGTGTGCTGGAGAGTGGATGTTTCGATTCAAGGGATAGCATGATGCATCCAAACAATAATGGGGCCATTTAGCGGCATTCTGAACTAACTTTCTGTGCGCAGCTAATTCCTCGGGGACTGCCTTCTCGAGACAACGGCGCGCTCAATTCAGTAATTTCTTGAAGTGTCTGTCGGATTGCCCAGCGTTATCCACGGAATTGCGAAAGGCTATTTCAGTTGTGTGAATTTTCTGCGTCTCTTCATTATAATTTTCGCTCGACTTTTGAATATAATAACAAGTTTTTGTAAAAGTTACTCCGACCCGAGGAGTGCTCCCAGTTCTAATGGTTACCCCGTCATATTTCAAATTCGGACTTGTTTTTCCTAGGCTGCAGTATCTTACTTACCATCTAAGCGCATGAGGTTCGCTGCATAGTTTCTAATTTCTCTGCTAGTAAGTTTGCTTACTAGATTGGCCTGTTCTTTCGATCTTGTCAATCTTTTGTGGGCCACCCTGTCTTTCTGAGCTGTCCCTTACTCTTCATTTGCCAAAATGTCATCTTATGTTAATGTTCCGTTTAAATGAACGTCCGTTTAGTGCTGAAAGTGAATGTGAAATTCGGTCTGAACCGCTGAGAAGTTTACTTTACGGTCTGGTGAAGGTTATGTAAATAAGTTCGGTAACTTACTGTTTACCTAAAATCTCCAAAAGTGATCTAGAATGGGCTCAGGAAAAGTTTTCGAGAGCTTCTTAAAAGAGACTACTGTTGAGACGAAAACACTTTTAAAGGTTAGTTTTGAAGAGGTGCAAAAAAAAGCGTAAAACCAATGGAATCTTAGAGATCCCATTTTCTCCGATTCACAAGGAATTCAGCAGATCCTGGGCTATTCATTTGTTTAGTAGTTGGTTGAAGTGAAATGCCATAGCCATAGAACTCTATGGGCGAACAAATGGTGTACATCAGTCTTTGTGAATGTGATCATTTGGTCTGCCCAGTTGACGTGACCGAAATAAATTTTTGCTAACTTGCTCAGTTTTAGAAAGACCAAGTGACAGAAATTTCCGCAAAGGTTGTTCTTCAGTTCAAGATGAGTAACTGAGTTAGCAAAAGTGCATTTAGTTATTCATATTTTGTCGATATTTAATATTTGGTGAAATGCCCAATTAGTTTCGTTTTACTCATACCATTTTCTTGTTTATGGTAAGAAACAACAGTAATTCTCAGGAGTCACATGATATGGGTGCTCTACTGATAATGAATTCTGTCTTGGGTTATTCTACCTCTTAGCCAGCATTGTTGGAATTGGTCTCACACGACGCCTTCGCTTTGTGTCTGCTGAAAAACGGCTGTTGTTCCATTCGTCAACAATTGTCAATGCTGAAGGGTCAGAGATGGATGGATTGAGAGGTTGGGCAAAAATGAGCGTGAGCGGGGTGAAAGCGGCCAACACCTTCAGACGGCTAACTTGTGAACCACGGACCTTTGAATATTGGCTGGTATTTTTTCGAACCGCAATCATCTATGTATTCCTCTCATTCGGCACTCGAGAGGCCTTCTCCGTAGTAAATGAGTTTGGGTGAAGATTGTATGGTATGGCATTGTCGACTGTTTTTGGACGAGAATTCTTCTAATTCGATTGCCAAATAAATGGGAGGAAACCACTAATGGCCTGAGTACAGCAGTCACTTATCTTCGCCCAGGCAGGCAGGTATTCATCCTATGAAAATGCTTTCGATGAAATGGATATCTTTGAGGTTATTCTGATAAATCGGCCCTCCATGGTTCAGTTTTTTGACTGGTTTGGTTCATTGACTGGTTCTGTTTCTTGACGAAAAGTGAATCTCCAAATTTTCCTTAGGTTGCGAAACTAACTCCATAGAAACTGAAGCTTTCTCGATTGTTTCCTTAGTTTTGCTCGTTTGGTTCCTGAATAATAAGTGAGTCAGCAGTGATGGTAAAACTGACCTTTCATCAGAGCTGAAGATGCCTGCAAAATGGAAACGTCTAGAATGGCATCTAATTTCACCCCGACGTGGTGTGGTGGCTTCTCTCGGTATACGCTAATGAAACCATCTGATCTCTATTTGGGGTCTGTAAGGTGGCTTAAAATGTAGCAAAGCTTTATAAAATTTTTGGAACCTTTTAAAACAAAATTTGGTGGCTCCACCCATTAAACAATTTGAAGGTGCCCATTTGTGATGAGAACCTCTTGTAGAAACTTAATATTGCTTACTTGTCTTCTTTTTGCCGTCTGGCTGTCTACTAGTGATTGCAACGCGGTCTCATGAGTGGTTGTCGCGGCGGATTTGAGTTTTGACAGTAGCTGTTGGAAGTTTTTTTCTCGAGTTTTAGTAGTTTTTTTTTGTAAAAGTTGAAAGGAACTAGACACATCGACGACTATCGCAGTCTGGCGAATGAACTCATTTGAAAGTTCCCCGTAGACAAGGCCAATGCTATGGCATCGACCGAATATTTCTAAAGATCGGTGTGACAGAACTGCACAGGAATGTCCTGGGGATTCTTCAGTTTTTAATCATTGTTTTGCTTATTTGAGTCAATATTTCGAAATAAGTGGATCCTATTCAATTATTTATTTTTTGAAATTTGTAATCGATAAAAATCGATAAGTGTATTACGTATCTTGTTGGCTGTTCTCAGCTGTGTTAGTAGAGTGCGAACAGAATGTCTTTCGGCCGTTTTCATATTTTTCGCGCAGACAGGCGCAGTTTGCCTCGCCCATTCACACCATGGTTACCTGGCGCAGAAATGAGAACCAGTTTGTTAC